GTATCACTAAATCACTAAGTTGCCCAGGCTAGGCTTGAACTTGCCATCCTGCCTCAGCCTCCCAGAACTAGGATTACAAGTATGTGCCACCATCCCTGGATCCTCCTCTGTGTTTCAGAGCAGGCAAGTCAAAGCCTTGGGATGAGTATATTGATCAAGAGAGCAGATAGAGGCCAGAGAGGAGGAGGAGGCAGCTGACCCAACTCCTGCTTGAGTACCCTCTGGGCTCCATGCCGGGGGTCATTGCCCTTAGGACCTAGCCATGTAGTGGTATCTTCTCTGTTCTAAAAATTGTTCAAGCCTTTTCTTACAATGCAGGTGGCAGAACCCTACGACCTGCCTGATATGACCTTGTGAGCCTGGCAGAACCAAAGGTCTCCAGGGAGTACAGCAGACCTGAGGCATGAGAACAGAGCCTTGCAGACCCAAATCGTAAGGAAAGTTGCCACCGACAGTTGCAGGATTAGCCGCACATTCCACCTGGCCCAGCATCAGAATGCAGACTATTCTGCCAAGACTCTTGATAATGACGAATCAGCCCTATTTCCCCTTCCTCTGGGCTGTCTCAATTCCTTTGCTACAGACCAATTGAGGAGACAGATCTGAGCTTGTCCCCTGTCTCCTTGTCAGCTGGCCTCCAATGAAAGCTCTTTCTTTTTCCAGAAACCTGGAACCCTAGAAGTGGCTTCTGTTCAAGTCAGACAACAAGCTCTTACTCAGGGTCCCCCTTAGCATAGTGACGGTGACAGTCTGTTTACAGTGGCTCTTGGCCCTGTTGGAATGCAAGCTCCTAACAGGAGTGTATCTTATTGACCTCTGTACATGACATGCCAGGCATGCATGAGGCATCCAGTAAGAGTAAGGCAGAACATCTGTCCCAAGTCCTTGAGTCAAATACCAGAATTCTCCATCATTATCTTTCCGCAGAAGCAGAATCTTCTCCCTGGGGCTCAGCAGCTCCCATGTACTTGAGCTGAAATATAGAAAAATATTTTCACGGGAAATGAGAAAATTGCAGGAGGGCACGCTAAAAATCCTTCAGCAAATGTGCTATAGCAATGGTGGCAAACCCATGGCATGCATGCCACAACGGGCAAGCGGAGCCCTCTCTGCTGGCCCACGAGACAAGTCATCCCAGGCAAGTATCAAGTAACAGTTGCTTTTTCCAAATTAAAACCTCAGTATTCAGGTTTAACTGCAGTGTTGGCACTTTGCGATAAATAAATAGGCTTGGGGTTGCAGTTTGGGCACTTGGTCTCTAAAAGATTCACCGTCACTGCTCCATAGTGTCATTATTTAGTGTTATTTTCATGCTGCTTTCAGACACCTAAATCTTACATTCTTCTTTATATAAGTACCATGCAACATTAATGAATCACTTACTGAGCCAAGCACCAGGCTAGGTTTGCGACATACTTTATTTCATTTATGGCTAACAACTTTGAAAGATAGGGATATTTATCCCCATTTTAGAGATTAGAAACCAGATTAAGAGAGATGAAGTCACTCACTTGAAGTCACAGAACTATTAAATGTCAGAAGTATCCTTTAAGCGGGGTATTGCTTATTTTCAAAGCCCATAATATTGAACTTCTACTGCTGACTGTGAAAGAGAAAACTACATCACCTTCCTAATCATAAACAACTAAAAGTGGGACAAAATGTAAGCAGCCATTTTCAGACATGGGACAGCAGTCAGCACAGGATTCCTGACATGAGGGAAGCAAGTGAAGTGAGCCTCGCACCCTCAGGCTTCTTGTTGAAGGGAGTTTCCTGGACAGTGATACAAAAAAGAATCCAAAAAAAGAACCTATCAGTGCATGCCTAGAATCCTAGCACTCTGGGTTTGAGCCTAGCCTGGGCAATTTAGCAAGGCCTTGTCTCAAAGTAAAGAATAAAATAGGCCGGGGTATAGCTCAGTGCCAAGGCTCTGGGTTCAGTCCTCAGTACTGAAAAAAACAAAACAATACAAAACGATCTTTTTTGCTGAGTGTAGGAGACAGAGTCCAGAATTCAGAGACCAGGCTGGTAGAATGCTAGGGAGAATGCCTGGAGGAGGACTACATAAAGAAACCCTAGAAAACCTCAGAAGGGTTCCGTTGAGCCTTTGGCTGAAATCTAATCTGTGCTTTCTTAAAGTGAAACTCTACAAGACTGGGCTGTGAGGAGAGCAATTTCCAGAGCTGGGAATCATGAATTCTCAACAACTAGAGTTGAAACACCTTATTGAGTACATGTAGTCTTTACTAGATATCCCAGAGAGTCCAAAAGTTAGCAGTGGAATCAAGTTATCACTGAAATAAAGGTTTCTCTCTTGACCTGCCCAAAAAATGCTTAAAAACTTGAAAGTACTAAAATAATCTTTAAGCAATGTAAGTACCTACCAGGAGGGGAAAAAAAAGCAAACAAGTACTCTTTAAAGAAAGCAGTAAAATTCCACACTAAGAAATGAAAATTTGGGGCCTGGGGATTTAGCTCAGCAGCACAGCACCTGCTTGGCAAGTGCAACGTTGTGAGTTCGATTCCCGGTACCAGAAAAAAAACAAACAAACAAAAAAGAAAGAAATGAAAATTTATAATGTCTAGCACATAATAAAAAAGTACTAGTCATAAGAAGGAGCAGACAGTGTGATCCATGACCAGGATAAAAAGTCAGTAGGAATTGATCTAGAAATGGGAGAGATGATAGCATTAGAAGATAAAGACATTATAATAACTATTATAAATATTTTCCATAGTCTCAAGAGTGTAAAGAGAGATAAGGACATAATGAAAGAAGAAATGGAAAATATATGTAAGTTAAATTTCTAGACTTGAAAATTATATTTGAAATGAAAAGTATACTAGGTGGGATTAACAGCAGATTAAACATGTGAAATAAAAGCCCATCATTTTATTTAATCTTTTGTTTTCATTTTATTTAATCTTCTCAATGGCTCCAGCTCAAACATATGTGAAGCTTGCCTGAAAATCACACTACTGGAAAGCAAGAAAACTATAATTTTACCCATTACCTCTCTTTAATGTTAGTACTTGTCCTTCTAAGAAATAAATCACCACCAACAATAAAATGATGATATAACTCTGCAGCACTTTAAAATGTATTTGTTTGAGTGACTTTTTTTCCACACAGGCGGTTCCCCTAACAATTCTGTGAACCTACAAGACATGTAACGCAACGCAGTCTACCCAAACTCAACTGTTTTTCCTCACCTTCTTTTTTCATCTACAAAAATGATCAAACGATAATGGATACATGGACATATTTGTACACTCTAAAATGTTACACTGGGTTAAACATACTCCTGAGCTCCTATTTTCCCTATTCCCTACACCAAGTCTGTAGCCTGTGACACCCATGTCCCTTTGAGTTGCCTTTAGACAGGAATGACCTAAATGTAGGCATTTAATCAGAATGCCCGGCGGTCACTAAGTGTAACCAGACAGTCAGTATAAGCAGAAAATCTGGACCAACCCAGATTTGTCTACCTTGGACTCAAGGTGTTCAAGAATGCACTGACCCATGTCGGGAACAGAACACTGTACTAACTCACCAAAGTCCTTGATTGAGTCAAGCCGTGTCACCTTAGCTAACTCACTTTATCCAAGCATCAGAAAAGTGGGGATACAACTACCTACCTTATAATAGCACTGTTTGGGGGATTAAATGAAATAATAAAATCCAAAGAACTTAGCAGTGTTGGCAAGCCTTCAATAAACGTTATCTTTAATTATTCTAACAAAGAGAAAGTTGTTTATAGACCATAAAACACCTTCTAAATGTGAGGGGCTGAGTCTTGCAATCTGAAAGTTTTCTTGTCCAACCCAAAAGTAAAGGAAGCACATGTCTGAATTTCTGCACTGGCAACAACCTCCTCTGCAGCCCTCACCTGCCTCATTCTCCCCCTCCCAGACAGTCCAGAAATTCACCTGTCACTCCAGTCTCCTTTCCATTCCACCTTCCCCCAGGGGTTCCGCAGCTTCACTAGATACTCAGGTCCATATTTGCAGGTCACCTGTACAAAATGAGGAGCAGTTTAGGTGACTGGGCTAAATGCATGTGATACAGGTATCTGGGTGACTCCTGCCTGCAGTTGAGACCTTGCAGCAAAAAAATTAAAGGCCTGGAAGGAGTTGGTAAGTGACTCTGCTCACCAACAAATTACCTCACTTCTGTGTCTCAGTTTTTTGATCTGTAAAATGAGACTAATACGTACACCAACAGCAGTGGTTTGAACGGTGGGTGCCCAAAGGATATGTCCACCTGGAATTTAGGAATATAAACCCTGTTTGGAAAAAGGATCTTTGCAGATGTAATTAAGTGAAGGATCTGGAGATGAAATCACCTTGAATTAAGGTGTGAGCTACACCAAAAGATAAATGCTGTTGTGAGAGGAGAGAGAGGGAAAAGCCACATAGGAGGAGACATATGAAGATGAAGCAGAGACTGGAGTCACATAGCTCACATCAAAGAACACCTGGAGCCACCAGATGGTGGGAGAGGAACGAAGCATTCTTCAAGAGAAATTTTAGGAGGGGTGTGGCTCTGCTCATACCTCGATTTCAGACTTCTGGCTTCGTAAGCAGCGAGAAAATAAATGTTTGCTGTTTTGAGCTACCCAGCATGGGGTATTTGTTACAGCAGCCTAGAAGATGAATATTCTCATGCATGGCAGTGTTGTACTAAGGAAGCCAAAAAAAAAAAACCAACCAACCAAACAAAAAAAACCCAACAGCAGTTATAATCTTATTTAGCACATAGTGCTATATAAATTTGTTTTATATGTATATATATATATATATATATATATATAATCAAGTTATTGGCATGCAAACAAATGTGGTTGGAAAATGTTACACATGAGTAGAGCTCAAGAAATTTGACACAATTAGAGGAAACTGATAGGCCTTGAGGAGTCCGCTCCCAAGGAGCACCAAGGGCTCTTTAAGACTGAGCCTGTGAATTTCTTAACTTTACGTTGTGCCCTTGCTGCTCTCTCCTCCAAAATATGCTTCTCCTTCACACAGGTCTGCCCCTCTTGCAGGGGTCATTTATCTGTGACGCCTTTTCTGACTGCTTCCTAATCTGCCCAGGTGAATGTCTTTTCTCCTACCTCTGAGCTTTCCCATTCTACTCTGCTTCCTCATCCTTTTCAAGTGTGGGTTGTCTGCAACTTTGACAGGAAGCTCTCTGTAGCCGGGGTTGCTGTCTGAGCCTTCTCTCAAAGCTCAGGAGAGCTCAAAGGTAAGTGGAATTGGAGGAGGCTGGAGGCTGTTGGAAAGGAGCATGTGAGAGAGTGAGGCAGCAACTTGGAAAGGTGGAAGCAGGACAAAGGCTGTCTTTGGCAGCCCAAAGCCTGGTGAAGCTCAAGGAAGGGTTGTGGGCACAGCAGGGCTCCTTAGTCAACTGGCTGCAGGGTGGTCCCTAGGAAGAGGCTGGGAAGGTGCACTGGGAGTCACAAAGGTTGGACCCAACAGTTTATTTCAGAAAATAGACATGGAGTTACTAGGAGCCCACCAAAGTCTTTGGCAAGCCCTGGGGGATCTACCAGAGGGTTTATCCCCATCCCCACCCCACTCAACACTGGACACGGGCACTACATCCACCAAGAAAAGCCAAGACTTTGGAGAGAACCTTCAAAATAGGAGGCTGAGTGGGAAATGAGGGGCTTAGATGACCCCACCTTCCGGATTCCTGTGAGAGTATAGGCATGACCGTCCACCAGCCCATTCTCCAGCACCCTCTCTTTCTGCAGAGAAAAACAGAGAAGTCTTGTTCAAGCCAGCAGCTTAGTCCAGGCATCAAGGTAGACCTGGAGTGGACCTGGCTGAGGAGGGGTTTTGGAGAGAATAGCAGAGAATCACAGTGTGGTACACCCATTTTAAGACAAGCCTGAATCGAGGGCTTCCAGCTCCAATTCCATGTTCTTGATTGTTGGAAACTGGACACACAAACTCCCTGCAGGAAGTTGACACTTAATAACTGTACAATCTCTTCTCTACACTGTAATTGTATTCTACTGCTGGCTTGCCTGCCTTGGCAATCCAGCTGTATTACCCTGGTTTGAACATCAGGATTGGGTGGAGGTCCAGGGGCCCAGGTAGAAGCGAGAACAGAAGCTGGAGGGTGGAGGGGATGGGAGCAGGAGAGGAGACCGTGCCGCCTGTCTGCCCCTCTCTCACCCCTAAATGAGTCTGGCAGCCAATGAGGGTTCTGCTCTGGGTGGCTTGGGTTAAGATGTGCCACAGGTTTCCAGGGGCTTCTGTCAGGTTGATGGTCATTGTCACACCTCCAGTAAAGTCCACAAGGGCTTCAGACACCTGTCCAAACTGCAAGTCTTCATAAGAACCACAGAGCCTGCTCAGAGAAGGAATAAACATGAGACATGATGCGAAGGTCATTTATATGATAGATGAGGTGGCCCGAATGAGGTGTGAACCCCTCACTTGGTTATTCTTTGGGTACATATTTACTACTCCTTCCTTCCACCCCAAGATCAAAAGATTGAATATATACCTACGGTTCCTCACCCCGTAAACACCTTCGTTCATTAGGGAAAGGCAAAATTTCTGAGTGTTTGTTCAGAAGGGAAGACCCCTACATAAAAGACTCTGAGTACATTCTCACTTCTGTATTGGTTGACACACACCTCATGCCTCATTTCTTGAAATTTATCTGACACCTCCCACCTTGCTCCAAGATGGAGAAATGAAGAAAGAGAAGGGAAGGCAGATGATTCTGGTGGTTGTCTTACTTGGCATAGGCCTTTTCCAGAAGAGCTCCCCAGAACAAGTTCTTATAGGTGGAGGAAACAAAGACCAGCTGGCCAGCCTCATTCACAGGCAGACGGTCATCTATCACCACAGGAACCCACTTCCCAAAGTGCCAGAACTGGGGAGGGGGAGAGAGAGAGACTGTTGAAATACCATGGAAGAGATGCCAGAGAAGGCGGTCAGCCCAGAGGCAAAGACGCGGCTCCTCCATCAGCCATCTTTGCCATTCCCCCACCCCCACCACTGGGCTGAAGCACCAGGAGTACACTCACCCAGAACCGGAAGATGCCAGCATACTTCTCAGTGAAACTCTGATCCAGGGGAACGACCCGACGCATGATGTCCTGGTGCAAAGTCAGAGCTTGCAAAGCAGCCAAGAACCAGCAGTCTCCTAAGCCAGACAGCACACTGACACTCACAACTCTATTAGACATGCATGTGCATTCTACCAGCATCTGTATGGACCTACCGAGGACTTCTTGCATGCAAGAAATGCTTGGTCCCAGTTATACTCTCTGGGCTCACAGCCTAGTTTAGTAGAAGGAAATGATGTGCTGGGAGAAGGATAGTGAGAGAACAGTGCAGTGGGAGAGGCACCCTGGCTGGAATCCAGACTTGACATCAAGAATCGAGCTACCTTCCTCAACCAGCTTTCAGCTTCCGAAATGCCTCTTCCTTGGGAATTTGAACCCAAACAGTGATAGCTTCTAAATTCTGCCTCTGTAACTGCTTCCTTTTTTCTGGAGAACCCTCTGCAGGACTCCAATTCTCTGCGAGATGGGTGTCAGATCACTTGTGCCTTCACTGATGGCCGAGAGTTGTTTCTACTTACTCCAGAAAGCGCTGAGCTGATGATACGCCTGCCTGGATCCTAATGACGGGTGTTCCCAGAAGGAGTCATTGTGGGAAATGAAACAGAGTGAGCACATTTCCTCAAACTCAATTTAGACCGTAAACCGGTACTGAGGACCATCCGGGGGCTTAGTCAAAGTGGAGCATTCCCACACATACCCAGAGGACCAGCTTTTATGAATCAGCTAGTCTTTGTGAATCAACGAAGGGCAAAGCATGTGACGACAGAGTTCAGGGTTTGCTGCTGAGTGACCATTTGTAACCCCCACAATGCTGGGCTGTCTGGATGCCTCTGCCATGGTCAGACCATGGCACAGATGGTCTGGTGTGGACTCAGAAGCTACGTGGCTTACCTACTACTCCCTGGCACAGATCCAGCCTTTTGGCCTCAGTAGAATAGAACTGGGGGTTGCTGTGCAGCTCCTGGTGGGATGGACAGAACTGTCATTATGACCAAGAATAAGGAAACCCTTAGAGCTACCGTGGCCATGTATTCTCATACTCTAAAACGTACCACAAGGGGACAAAGATAGAGAATAGACGATATCAGTATGGTTCCAGAAAATCAGCCATATAGATTCTGTCCGTTCTATTTTTCATTCCTTCTTCCAGTACCTGTAAGTCAGAGTCCTAGAAAACTCTGTATAGATAGTGGGAAATGTGTTTTCTCACAGTTTTCATTAAAAATAGTCTCTAGGAATTCTCATTTTTCCCAGAGAGTTTGTTCTTTTTCCTCCCTTCTACTCCTTCCCACTCTCAGCCTCTAATGGGATGGCATCTTTGCCTTCTCATGCTGAGGCGTGGGCTGGGCGCAGTGGAAAGGGGTAGACTTCTCTGTGACAGGAACTAAGCCCCTGCTTTTTGCATGCAGTCAGTTCCCTTAGGGGTCACGTGTGTGACAGAGTCTCTATGAAAACAGTGTCCAAGGCTTTCAGGGAGACATGAAATCCTGCTGCCATCTAGTTCAGTGGATCTCTTTGGGAATTTTGCCTATAGTGGGGATTTTTCCTAAGTCTGTGGCTATAGAAAGTGATGGAGATGTCAGAGTAGGCAACAAAAAAAGAAAAAGAAAAATCCATAGCATAGGTTCCTCTCACTTTGTTCCCTAACTTTGGTCCAAACATTACGTATTTATAACTAGGTTTGAGGGAGATGGATTACATGCAAAGTAAGAAACTGCCCTTTGAAAGGAATCACTGATACATTTTACAAGATGTAGAATACTTTTGTAAAGTAAATAAGCAGGTTATTAATTTACATGTCTCATGATCCTGACTTGGGGAAGAGGGTGAAAGATGGTCTCTCAGGCAGGCAGTACTGGTTGTAACTCAGGATCCTTTGTCTCTCGGACGATGCCAGACAGGACCTTGATAAGCTTGTGGTTGCATTTCCAGGTAGATTTCCAGACAAGATTAAAGGGAGAGCTACATTTTAGGCCACTTCCAACTTTTCCATCTGGAAAATGGGAATGTAGGACCATACCCAGTTCCCTTCTCATGAGAATTAATGACAGAGAATAAGACCTGGTATGATACTGTGAAATATATATATTTGGTCTTCCTCCTATTTCCTGAAAGCCTCATGCTCTCTGGAGTGATGAGTGTCTTTTGTATGCTAATGAGATGACTGGTGGCCAGGACCCCCTAGAGAGCTGTAGGATGGTGGCTGATTACTGAAAGACTAAAGGCATTTTTTACACAAGGTTTTTGTTGTTGCTGTTGTTGTCTTTTTTGGAGGTAGGGTCTCCCTCTGCAGTTCAGGCTGGCCTTGAGCTCACTTTGTAGCCCAGGCTGGCCTCGAACTCACAGTGATCTTTCTGCCTCAGCCTCCCAAGTGCTGGGATTACAGGCATGCACCACCAGGCCCAGCTAAAGGGCACTTTTGACCTCACCCTCCTTGACCTTTGGAAGGTGGAGAGAAGCTGAAGGTTGAGCTGCTCACTTATGGCCAATGATGAAGTCAATTGTGTTTATGTAATGAAGCCTGTGTACAAACCCAAAAGGCCAGGCTTCGGAGTGCTTCTGGATAGGTGAGCACATGCACATGGAAACTCCACACCCCTTCCCCCACACCTCTTCCTATCTTTTCTGTAATAGCATTTACAATAAACATAAGTAAAGTGTTACCATGAGTTCTGTGAAGCTCTGTAGCAAATTAATAGAACCCAAGGAGAGGGTCACAGGAATTCTGATTTTTTTTTTTTTAAATTTTTTTTTTTTTTTTTGGTTTTTTGGTTTTTCCCCGGTACCGGGAACTGAACTCACGACCTTGCGCTTGCCAGGCAGGCGCTTTGCCACTGAGCTAAATCCCCCAGCCCCAGGAATTCTGATTTATAGCCAGTGGTCAGAAACACAGCTCACAACCTGGGACCTGGGATTGGCATCTAAGGTGGGAATAGTCTTTTGGGAGAGAGCCCCTAAGCTGTGGGATCTGACCTACCTCAAGGTAGACAGTGACAGAATCAGGTTGAACTATATGACACCCGCTGTGTAGCATGGGGGGGGACCTCCCACACATCTGGTGTCAGACGTATGTGGCGTGTTGCGTGATTAGGGAGTAGGAAAAACACTGTTTTTTCCTATATATTTTTGACCTGGCATCCGAGGGCTCAAGCCCTAAGCAGTGCCATATTTCAGGCATATTGTTGTCAGCCCCTGCCTGGTCCTTACCGGGGGTCGCCTCCACTGCAGGTGTCCAGGCAGCTTCTGCAGCAGAGGCCCACTGCCAATGGAGCTCCGGGTGGCCGGGAAGCTGCTGTCTTCGAAGAGGCAGTGGTTCCTCAGGCAGCGGTCCAGCAGTGCCTCGTAGTTCTGCTGGGGGAGCTGCTGAGAGCCCCGCATCGAGTCCTTCCACCCCAGCTTCCATCTGCCTCGGAGAGGTGGACACAGAGACATGGCAGGTTTAGCTATGGGCCCCACAGTCCTCCCTGATGGTCTCTGCTCCTGAAAAAAATACCAGAGGGTCAGTTGTAGAGAATGTGAAAGGAGAAATGAGCAAAGGCAAGGGGGAGAAGAGAAGCAGGAAGCTGAGGCCCAGTCCTTTGGGCTCGTGGTCCCTGTGCCCACCCAGGCAATGGCAGCTGGGTCGTCTCCTGGTCAGTTAGCTGCTGCTACTTCTCCGTGGGCTTTTGTGCTCTCCTTGGGGAGAGGCAGTCAGAAGCCCTTTGGTACAGGAGCAAGGCTTTCATTTTTACGCTCAGGCACAAAGGCGAAAACAAACCATGGGGGATAAAGACCCCAAGTGAACCAACCAAAAGACAAAGTGTATAGCTTTTGAGGCATCTTCGGGGTGTGCAAGGCCCTGATCTCCTAATAGCATCACACTTCGAGTGGAGTTTTTCTTGCACCTGCACTCTTCATTGGGCCCCTTCGGGGATGCACATCTAGGCTCATTACCATCTTAAGTCTCAGAGAGTGATTTCTACTATGTTGATAAAGTAAAGGTAAGTACTGGATAGGTTACTATAATGAGTGTTTTATGCATGCATTTGCACTTACCTCCTGGAATTCGCCCCTTATCATCTGGGAAAGTTCTGGATTGGGTTTTAGAGCAGGGTAGATCACCTCCCTGCCTCAATGGGCTTGCTTATCATGATTTTCTTTGGCTCTGGCTTCTCAGGGTGTCACTGACCACACAGTCTGTGAAGGCTGCACTGACTTGCTCCTGTCTCTTGGTGCCTTACCTTAATTTTGTAGCCATGAAGGGTGGTTTGCTTCCTAACGCTCAAGTCCCCCATCTGTTTGGTAAACCCTTAAGACTGAGGCCTGGCCTTTCTGTCTGAGTCCCCCATTGGCTGCCAGCTGCTGCTGCCTGGCTGCTTCCTTCCAGCGACACACACTACAAAGTACTGCTTCAACATCTCCCTCACTTGCTCGGCACAACCTCCGCCTACATTCTCATCAAAATGAACTCCTTCCTTGACATTTTTTTTGGCAAAGTAAAGAACTCATATACACACATCACGGTAAGCACTAACCACTGCCTCTTCTCTCCCTTTTCTTATTAACACAGTTTTAGTTTTGATCACACAACTTTAAATGATTTCCTGGGATTTCTTCCTGGACTGGCTACATTATTTAATTTCGGCTGATGAAATGAAGATCTACTAGGTGGGGCTTTTTGGAAAAGTGACTTTCCCAATAAAAAGCAATAGGGTCTGCTGACACTACTTTGATTTCTAACACCCCTCTTACTGGAAAACAGATGAAATGTCGAGGCTGGAGCAGCTGTGTTGGGACCATTAGGAAAAAGTAATGACATGCTACAAGAAGGCTGGATCTTGATGGTTCTTTGAACAAATAGCCCTTTGCCTCTAGACTTCTTAATACACAGGAAGGATAAACTTTCACTTACTCAAACCACTGGCTAGACATCTCTGGTATTCTCTCTGTCATTGTATGCACAGCCTTAGCATTCTCCACTGAGACACAATGACCGGGCAAACTCGTACACATGCTGTTAGGGAGTAATGGGTCCCTCTTCCAAAGCTCATTCATAAGCTTCTGCAAGCCAACGGGGATCCACCAACTCCAATATTCTACTATACCCTTAGAACTCCTGTGTCTGTTTTTTGTTCAGTTGTGATTAGTTAGTTCAATGATCTTATAGTTTCAATCATTTCCACTCTTATTCACTTATAACTTTAAAAAATCAAAGTTAGAAGAGGTCTTAAAAATCATCTAATCTAGTGTTTTTCAACACAGTACTAGGATTCTCTCATCAAATGAAATCCTATAGAAACCAAAGCCTGGAGATTAGAGTTTGCAGTTTGGACCACAGTGTACCTTTGCAAACTTTCTCATCTTATGGCTTGAAAACCATTAACTTTACCTAGTCAACCTCATTTTTCTGGGGTTAAAACTGCATCCAATTTATCCACTAAAAATTCCACTGGCAGTTTGCCATCCATCGGGCTTGAACTAGGCATCGCTTGCTAGATCATCCCCACCCCCATGGCTCTTTGTGGAAAGTAAATGTTCATCTTGGTACTACACAGGAGCATTTCATCAGAACCAAGACCCAGGACCCCGAGTCCCACAACAATGCCCAGCCATCAGTGCCAGCATTTGCCTGCTGTGCCTAATCCAGAGCTCAGGGACTATGTATTGTACTAAAAGCAGTCAGAAAACATGTAGCAAGCATGAGTGCTCCCTGGTAGCTGCAGGAGTAATCCAAGGGTCTTCTCCCTATGTCAAGATCATGTCCATCCTCCAAAGACCAATGTGAGCACCTCCACCAGCAAGCCCTTTTTGAGAGCCTGGCCCTGCCTGTGTTCCCTCATCCTGTCCATCGACCCACTGTCTACTCTACTGTATGTTATACTGTCCTCAAATTGCTGCTTCTCAAATTGTCACTCATGGAAGACCTGTATTCTTTCATTTTTGGCACTGGGAATCGAACTCACAACCTCATGCTTGCCAAGCAGGCACTGTGCCACTGAGCTAAATCCTTGGCCCAGACCTATATTATTTATTTCTGGTTCATCACAGATAGTTAATGCAAATGAATTAATAAATTGTAAAATTTTAAAGATATACAAAATCCCCCCTTTAAAAAACATCTTTAGATGCCACAGAAATGAAATTATGCGGTCAGTTGTCAAAATCCGAAACACTTACCCTCGGTTCTGTGGCAGCTCAGCACACTGCTGGGGACCAGTCGTGAAATGGCCCTGTCTTCAGATCCTTGTTGAGCTCTGCTCTGAGTGATTCATGCATGGAGCCTCCTCTACCTAAAGCATGTTTTTTTATCCTCTGTGGGATTAACAGTGGTGGAATGTGGCTTGCTCACACCCTTACCTCTCTGTGCACTCTGGACAGCCCGATTCTTGGCTGTTATTTGTCACAGACGCGTGCACACTCCCTGAGACTCAGTCCTTCTAACCCAGACTATGGGACTCAAACACTGTTACTCACCTCTTGCCCCCGAGCTCGTCTCCCTAATACAGATAACTTGGTACAGCTTCCTCCAGCCTAACCCCATTTTCTTCCCAAGTTTCTTCTACCATATGTACGCTTGTAAACAAGCTCAAGGCTACACAAAGGCAAGGTCTTACCTCTTTGTCTCTTCAAGCCGGAACAGCAAGCTTTACTGCTAATGATGTGACAAGTGGCTTCAGAGCTGACCAGGCTTCTGCCCTCGTTTCTAAATGTTGGGTGACACTAGGACACGTCTCTGAAGCTCTTTTTACAAGCATGGCTCCTCATGGGCTCAAAGGACAACATGCCCGTTATAGGATCCTCTCACCCTCCAAATTTCAGAACAAGGCCACATGCATGCACCAATACCTATTTCTGAGTAAGTATTCCTAAGTCACCTTCAGGAAATCTAGGCCCAGTTGTGGATGATTGGTGATTCTGGTGCGTCTCTTGTATATTACAAGCTGTAAAGGAAATTGGCTCATTCCCAGATTGACCCAGCTCTCTTGGCCAAGGGCTACGTGGGTCTTGGTCATATTTGGAAGTTCACTTTGACTACTGGGAGTGAACGGTGTTGGACAAGCCCATAAAATAAGGGTATGGGAAATGGCTAAGGGCAAGCTAACTGGGGCACAGGATACGAAAGCACGCAGCCTATGGGCATCCTCCACATGCCTGGGGGCTCTTTCCTTGACTCTCCAGAGGAGCTACACTGTTTTATAGTATCCTCCTTTTTAATTTTATTTTATAAAAAACACAAAATTTCATAACAAAATAATAAGACAATAACAACAGTTGACACATCATATCATTATCTTCAAAGTAGTTACTCAGAGTACAAGACATGGACCAAAAACATTCTTATAAAGAAGAAACAAATTTAATGACTTCAAGAAGAGGAGAATAATTCCTCTTTCACCTATGAGTTGACCTGTTTCTGAATAGCAAATATTTATTGTAGGAACAGTGGTAGGAAATACAGAAATAAGAAATGACCCATAATACCACTACTCAGAGGCAGCATTTTGTTATAACTTTTAAAGAACTTTTTCTACATTGAATTACATTTTTATGAAAGTGAGTATTATATGTTATTTTATGCCTTTTTCACTTCCCAATAATGAACATTTTCACCAAAAAATTGAACATATAAAAGCATATTTAATTATTCCATAGATCAACCGAAATTTATTTTTGAAATCAACTATTTGTGGAATTTCATGTGTTTTCCAGTGTTTCCTCTACTCTAAACAGTGCTGGGATTGGTACATTTTAGCTATGCCTTTGAGCACATTTCCAATTATTTTTCAAAGATAAATTAGAAATAGAATGAAATTTCTTTAACCTAAAAAAGACCTTTGCTAAGAAATTTAGGCCAAATATCATACCTATTAAGGAAAAATTTTTAAAAACATTTTCTTAAAGAGAAGACAAGGATGCCAATTACTACTATCTTTAGTTTTAATTGTGAGCCTTAGCCAACCTAATAGGATAAAATAGATAAACAAGCATAAAAATCAGACAACAAACACAAATGATTATTAGCTGTATAAATATTATTCTTCCTTTTGACTATACAAGAAAATGGAAAAATACTGGAAAATAACAAAAGTGAGTTAGGTCACTGAATGCAAGGTAAACACACTATACAGAGTCTAGTGATGTTCTTTTATACTAGAAACATCTAACTACAAAACATAATGGGAAAAAAAATCTATTTTTGTAACAACTCAGTTTACTGGTGTGGGTAATTTGTGTCAATAGGATATAAAAGTCAGAGGTCTTATGAGCAAAATGCTGATTTCAGACATAATCATAAGAGACATGCAAGCAGTTACTGTGGACCTGACATTGTCACACACACACACACACACACACACACACACACACAATTAATATTAATATTGACTATTTCTACACGATGTGATTGACCAAGGTTTTATTTTTCTTTACTGTATTTTTCTATATTTTCAGGACTCTGGAGTAGTATATAATAAATTTATCATGAAAGAAAATGCATTTAACAAAAATATAAAAAGGAAAAGTGGGCCAGGAGTTACCTGAGGCCAGGATGGAGAATTGATTGAGAAGCAGTGCAAGAGAACTTTCAGGGTAGTGGAAAAGTTCTGTTGCTTGTGGTGGTGGTTTTTTTTTTAATGCCAAAACACAATAAAACACACACAACACACTTAAAACTACACAGAACATTTACAAGTCCATATAGTTCCTTCAGATTACATTTTTTACAGTTAATATAGAAAAACTAAAGAAGAGGTCTGACTTCTGTTCTGTTGGCATCATCGTGCTAAATAATTGTCTTGATTTTGAATAATAACGTCTGCCTAACTACCAGCTCTCATTTGAAGTAGCAGCTATTTCTCCATCCACCTCTGAAGCAATTGAGAAGTCTGTGCTAGATTTTAAAGCTGGATTATCAGAGACCCTAAGAAATAGGGATGAATTTCCCAGGAATTGCAACAGAGTAGAACACAAACTAGTTTCCAGGAACCTGTTCTATGTCTTGAGTCCCTGCCCTGATATTCAGTTCATTCAAATGTTTGCTGAACATATGCTAGGCAGTGTGTTCCTGGCTGGACACATACGCAGTACAAGCCCTTGGTTCACCTATGGGAGTAAAGAGAGGTGAAAAGGAAATGAAAGAAATGAGTGCTATGTCCTTTCTCCCAGGTGCTGTGGGCCTGTGAAATCATCCTAGAGAATGATACATTTCCAGAGAAGTCTGGTATTGGCCACAACCCACTGGGCTGTCTAAGATGAAACTGGGATAGAAACTCAGGTTTCTTGCACAATGGCTGTGCCTGTCTGATGAAGAGCTCTAGATTGAAATAATGATCAATTCCACGCTTTTGACAGTCAGAAAAAGAACAGGCAAACTGCAGGCCCTGCCTGATTTATTCTGCGCTGGATTGTGTTCCTTCCGTGTAGTAGGCAGTGCACAGCAATCATAGTGTGCTAGATTTTGAATTAGAAAATCCAGGACAGGGCTGTGCTTGCTATCACTCACGTGTATGACTTTGAGCAGATTCCTGGTCCTCTCTGAACTTCTTTGTTTGCTTATAATATGGGATGCTGCCATCTTTCAGCAATCTAAGGTGATAAAGATGTGAAAACCTCCAAAGTAGGGTAGATATTATATTCCAACCTGTGGACTAAATCTGGCCCACCACTAGCTCTTTTAACAAATAAAGCTTTATCAAAACATAGTCATACTTACCTGTTTAATATTGTCTAAGCCTGCTTTTGCATTACAACAGCAGAATTCCGTAGATGCCTCAGAGATCTTATGGGCCACAAGCTTAAAATATTTATTCTCAGACCCGCTGCAAGGTTTGCTGAGCTCTGCTCTAGGCACTCTCTCTTCAGGGCAAATTGCTGGCCTAGTGCCACACAGAGGCCAGCTCCACACAGCAGCTCCCAGAATAAAATGTGGCTGATTGAATCCAGTGCTAAGAATTTATCTTAATGCAATGGAATGTTGTTTCTAGTGGATTCATTGACTTTCCACAGACTTTAACATTTATAGTTATGTTCACATCTGCAAACACCAAAAGATGTAGCCTGGGATTTCTGGTTAGTAAAGTTTTGTCTCTAATCCATTTTTTAGAGATGGTGACATCAGACACACCTGGGCTGTTTTCAGGTAGTTCTGTGGTAACTCCTTACGAATGGGAAAACCCACATTTCTGTGTCACATCATGCCTTGTTCACTGAAGTTCATAAAAGAGGAAATGATTCTGTAAAATCATTTAGGGCTTTAGTTTTTTTCAACTATTTAGACATCTTTCTATGTTTAGAAAGATGTGTCTGTTATGTTTTTAACAGAAGACACAAAGCACAATTCTTCATTTATTGGAGCAGACATTTGCCTTTCAGGAAACAGTGAAGAATGTGGCCTAACAGTAAGCTCTTAAGGACAAGAAGAATTGGCTTTTTTCTGGGCACACAGAATCCAGCCCTGATCGTGAAGAAAGAGATGCTTGATAAACATTTGCTGACTGGCTGACTGACTGAACTCATGAGTGTTGGCTCATTTATAAAATGTACAGAAAATAAAGCTTGCCCTCCCCTCCCTTCCTGTTATGAAGCTGAAATGAGATGAAGGACATGATAGTTTTGGTTGAACTGTTAACCATTTCATTGCAGACTTGATGGGGGAGTTGCTCCTTTACCCTCCCTATTCCCTACCAAGCTTCCCTTTGGGGTCATTTCCAGGGGTTTAGTGGGATCCAGGGCAAAACACCGCAAAGAAGTAAAATCGGGGTCAGTTGTAAAGCAAAAAAGGAGTCTCCAGAGGGAATGGCATCTCAGGAATTGGTGGGCCCTGGAGAGTGGCAGCCCCATGACTAGTGGTGCTTGTTGTGGGGAAGGAACTTCCTGGGCTGATGGTCTACCTCTGTGGACATCTAAGAACTCAGCTTATGTAGCCCCTTATCAATCCCATCTGCCCCATCTTCCATCTGACTCCATGAAGCATGACCCCACCACAGAACTTCCTGGAGGTGCAACACCCCACAGACACCCTAGTGCGTCTGTGTGTGACTTGAAGTGTCTCCTCCTAGGGACAGCTTTCCTTGGGTACTGGAGTATCTACTCAGCCTGCATGGAAGCCAGACTCTGATGACAGTTTTTGCAGGATCCAAATATCAAACTAGAAGAAACTTGGTGGTCACTCTATTCAATATCCATGTGTACAGGAAAAACCCTGAAAAATTCAAGGCAGCTCTCAGCCTACTCAGCCTGACTAGGGCAAGCCCTAGGCCATCTCTTCAGCACGTCCTCTTCCTA